TTTGGGTAATTATCGTAATTCAAGAACAGCTAACGTGCTTATACTATACCGTTGGACAACAGCGGTTACAGTTTTTAAGGATCGATCACATTTAATTTTCCCAGCTGTGGGTGGTAGATGAGATTGGCACACCTCCACACCCCCCCCCCCCCACCGGTGTAGATGTAACTGAAACTGGGGAGTTTTAAGGCACATTTGCTCAAGTGCACACAACCCGGAAGTGATGGGTCTGGGTTTCAGTCTCAGACATTGTGAATCCACGGCTCCTGTGCGACGTTCCCCTTCCAGAGCGGCTCACACTTACACACCCATATGTGGCTTGCACACCCATCAGTGACACTATCCTAAGTTCTGTGCATTGTTAAATCACTTAGGTAAGTATTATCCTTATCCCCATTTTACAGATGTCATAACTGAGTCTTTCCTTAGGGATTATCACTCCTTGCATCCAAGACCCAGCTCTGCCCACAGTAGTATTGTCAGGACCCTTCCATCCCAGTCTCCTACATAGCCCCCCCCCCAAAAAAAAATGCTTTGCCAAATGTATCTGTGTTGGTGCAAGGAACAGTTAGGTGTTCCTAACTGTTAGGATATGTTATGAAATCAAGAGCAACACTGTGCTTGCACACACGACGTTCTTTTGGCTGACTAGAATGTTCCACTAGTTTCTGTCTTTTCTTTCCTTAAGAATAAATACTCAGCAATGCATCTGGGTAATAAAATGGTGACATTCCATAAACCCTTCTACCGAAGCGAGATGGAAAGAGCTGTAGTCATCGTACCTAAGCACACTTTAAAAGGAGTTCAGAGACAAAAAGCCATGGGCAGAGTTCCTTCCGTGTCATTTTCCAAAGCCAATAGGAAGCCCTATTTGCTAGTCTGATAACAACAGAAAACCTCCTTCCAGAAATAAGTAGACTCTCTGATCATGGAAACTGTGCATGTGAGGTACTCTGAACCGCGAGCATCGTTTCCTTAGCTGCCACGTTTTTGTGAGTAAATCCTACCCGTCACTTGAGCTTCTTCCAGGTAATTTTAGGAAATAAGGAAGCTGGTTTTTAAGAGGCAAGAGCTTGTGACAATGTACATCAAAGCTCTAAGCAGAACGAGTCCTCTGCTCACTGGGAGAATGTGTCTTTATCAGCAATCATCAGAGAGCCAAGGAAATGATGCTGAGATATAGTCTCTGAGTCCATCACAAGTCCGAGTGCACTTGGAGGGAAGGTTAGTCTCCACTAGTCGACATACCTGTTCTCGTCTTCCTCTTTCTGGGAGACTCAGGTAGCGCCCCGGATGGAGTTAACCTTTTGCTCAGTAATCAGTTAAACGCATCTGTGGAACATTTCCCATAAACCTAGAAACGTTAAACCATATAAAAGATTAAAAACGACAGATTTTAAAAGGCATTGCCCTTAGTCTCAAAGAACATGTGGGGAAAGATGAGAAGCATATGCTAAGTGCTAAGCTCTGTTAAAAATTATAAGTATGATAGGATTTAAGAAAAAGATAATTCTCTCAGTAGCTTGGAGTAATATTTCAAAACTGTACAGACAATACGGTGCGGATATGATTTGGGTAACAGCATGGAGAAAGGATATTCCAGGACAGAGAGAGAGAAGGTACCGTGTTTGGCCACGGAGCCACGGGGAACAGGTGTGTGCTGAGGGTTACGGGAAAGAAGGTCGGTGTGCAGAGTGTGTCCAGATCTTGAAAACACAAGAAGAACGTAGCCTGCTTTGGGAAGCAGGAAGGTGCCATTTTATCTTTTCAGCAGGAGATAGAAATAAGAATCTTTAACGAACCTTTGCATTTCTGCATTTATTTTTTTTTTTTTTAAGTTTATTTATTTATTTTGAGAAAGGAGAGAATTCCGAGAAGGATCTGCACCGGCAGCGCAGAGCTGGGGCTGAACTCGTGAACTGTAAAATCGTGACCTGAGCCGAAAGCAGGAGTCAGACTACACTTAAATGACTGAGCCACCCAGGCCCCCTGCAAATCTGCATTTATATGAGAGAAATATTCAGACATACAATAGCAAGAAGACTCAAGAGCCACTATCTTACTTTTGCCGTTGTCTATGAAACAAAATTTATTTTTGTTCAAGGAGTATAAGTTGTAATGCATTTGTTTCTTAGCCAGGGCAAGATTTGCTTTTTTATCTTTGTTGTTTGCGTAGCAGTTCTGTAAATACTGTCAATAGTAAGAAAGAAGAGATGGACTAGTACCTGCAATAATAAAAATTTTAAAACGCGAGATGATCCCAGTTAAGCGGCACGTTTGCCTAATCATTGGATGTAAAGAAGTGTGTCAGGAATGTGATTTATTGGAGTCCAGATTACCCGTCACATTACTAGTTAAATCGCCAGTGTTTAAAGATGACGGATACTGGCACATGGGTTTGTCGTTTATAAGACATGTTCATAACTGAAGCAGCAGAAATAAAAACAAAATCACATCTGGAGAATTTGGAATTCACATTGTGGTGCTCTTACCAGTATTCTGTTGTACTTCATTCAATTACAGAATGCAGAGTCATTTTTATTCACATACTTAAAATTGTCAAAGCTGACACCTCCTACTTAATAGCAGTTGGGGTAATTTTTCCATCTCATCCTGGAAGGGCAGTAAGTAGTTACGCTCTCTTAAAGATAATTCTTTACTTCATGGATAACTGCATTTTCATTTTTTTAAGTTTATTTATTTATTTTGAGCATAGGGGAGGGGCAGAGAGAGAGGGAGAGAGAGAATCCCAAGCAGGCTCTGCACTGACCGCGCAGAACCCAACACGGGGGCTCCAACTCGGGAAGAACCATGAGCTCATGACCTGAGCCAAAGTCAAGAGCTGGCTGCTTAACCACCTGAGCCACCCAGGCACCCCAATAACTATGAATTTTATATATTTCTATATATATAATTTTATTCTATTTTCAGAACTACCACAGTCTCTAAGGACGTTTTTTATGTTTTTTCACTAAAGCATTTTATAGCCTCTCCATTCGCAGAAAACTCCCTTCTTGTTCTGTGTACACATTTTGACAACAGTCATTATCTGCTCAATAGACCATATCTGTTCTGCAAGAGCCATTATGGTTGACTACAGAAATTTAAATTTAGCTCCTCACTAAAGAGCAGATCATTAAAGTTTGTTATAAAAGGCTTACGTGATGCTTAACAAGTCACTAGCCCATGTTAAACGTGATACTTTCTTTTCAAATTGACTTCTGCATATTTTCTACCTTTTAATGTGTATTTTCCCCAAAATGACTATTGCATCTTTTTAAATCTATAGCCAGACTTTAAGACCATAGGGTCAAACTCAAGTCAAGGAAAGAAGGAATTATTCTGGAAAGCAAGGTAGGGGAAGGACGTGGAGAGCCAGAAGGAATCCCTTTGCTTGAGTTAGCTGTATCTTAACCATGTTTCTGATTTTCAAGTCTTAGTGTTTGGTTTTTTGTTTGTTTGTTTGTTTTTTTGTTTTGTGTTTTGGGTTTTGGTTTTTTGTTTTTCTTTTGGTTAGGATTTCTCTAGGAGGGTTAAAATATCCTAAGTTGCCTTAAGCAAATTATTTGCCTGACACTTTTGGTTAATAAAGCAAATGCACTTAAAAAAGGTAACTTTCTAAAATACCTGTTGATGTATAGTCTTGAAGGTGAAAAAGTCATTAAAACATGACTGTGGCACTTAGACATCACTGATCATTAATAAATCTTTAATGATTGATTTTCTAACCACTGTAAAGTATGTGTTTTGTATCTAATATGCTTTCCTAGGATACTCATCCTTAAAAGGATCTTAGAATGATTACTGAACAAAAGAACCATGGAACACTAAAATCACATTTTATAAGATATGTGGGATCATTATGAAGTTAAAAACAAAAGTTAGCTTTAAAGCACCGTTTGTGTGGGGTGCCTGGGTGGCTCAGGCGGTTAAGCATTTGACTTCAGCTCAGGTCGTGATCTCATGGTTTGTGGGTTCGAGTCCCGTGTCAGGCTCTGTGCTGACTGCTGGCTCAGAGCCTGGAGCCTGTTTCAGATTCTCTGTCTCCCTCTCTCTCTGACCCTCCCCTGCTTTCTCTCTCTTTCTCTCTCTCTCTCTCAGAAATAAATAAAACATAAAAAAAATTAAAGCACAGTCTGTGAACTATAATCCCCAATTCAGTATTGGGTATATAAAGAAATGTATTTTCCTAATATTGAAGTCCTATCTAACATTATACTTTGCTACATTAAATTCATACTATTTCTCATATCTTTGTATTGTGTACCTTCTGGGCATTCTTACTTTACCTCCCAGCACCCTACGTGAGCCTCGTAATCTGGAGATCATGGACTACTGTTCATAAAGGTGTGAGAATGTGTGAAATACATGAAAATAGGTTAATGTCATCACCATGTAGATGTTAAATGTTGATGGGAATAATATATATTTTTCTTATGTTGCTCAGCATTAATTTTCCCTTGTTCCAAATTTCCATGACATTCTTTGATTTGTTCACATGCTGAAATAATGCAATAGAGATTCGTTTAATATATACTTTCTTCATTAGTATTTTGTAAGCATATGCTTTACAAAATGATTTCTATACTAATTAATTACATTAAGACTTTTTGCATAATACAACTAAATGTATTCATACAGAATTCCAGTGTAAAGCATAATGTTATGCATGCAGTAGGCACTTATTTTTATTAAATGAATGCACCAAGTTAAAACAAAAAAAGAACCCATATAGATAATGTACTTCATTGTTATGATAGAAACCCTCTTGTGCTGGCCTTATAGGCTAAGCACATGTAGAGAAGTGCCCACCCTGTTGCCAGCACAGGAAATAGTGACCACGATGGCAGCACCTGAGAATGGAATGTCGGATTGCTTATCTCAGTTTGATGGCAAACTCTCATCCTAAACTTTTTGTTTTTAGATTTGTATTCTGAGTGATTGACTACTGAATCACAGTTATAACATGTTTCTTTGTTTCTTTTTTTTTTTCTGTTTAGCCCCCTGTGAAGGCAATACATTCTTCTGTCATAGTAACATGTGTATTAACAATACACTGGTCTGCAATGGGCTCCAGAACTGTGTGTACCCTTGGGACGAAAATCATTGTAAAGGTAATGATCGGTTCTTAAAATTTGCAAAATTCCTCTGCCCGTAGAGTGGGAAGAAGTTTATTACAGTGTTTGGATGTGTTAGACTTAAAAATGGACTGTCTATAGACTGCTTCAATTTTCATGTATATTTGATCATTCATTTGCAAGCCTTACTCTTTGCTTTCACCACAAGTTTCTGAATTCATAAACGCATAGTAGAGTACCCTTGACACTTGGATGTTCATTAGAGACATCTTAGTAGAGCCTGCAAGGCCATGGAGTGGACATGAGGCTTCTAGTGCAGTGTGTTTTTCCTATCAGACCTGGTGCCCTTCACCTCTGCCTGCACTTCTCCCTTCTTCCACTATCTCCATCGGATAGTGTGCACAGACTCTAGCGGTCAAGTGCGTTAAAGGAACATTTGTGCTTTCAGGTACTCCCAGCCATTTAGCTCGACTTCTAGTTTTGTTACCAAAATGTTTTTCTTCCTTTCCAATGAAAATACCTTCCAGCACCCCTACTCCCTTCTCTAGCCTGTGTACACAGATCTGTCTGTGTAGATAGCAATCCTTGGCTTGGTCATGAATGTTCCCTGTTTTAGTTAAGTTGAACATGCCAGGTATAGTCTTTTATTCACATTCAATATGAACAGATTTGCAAAGAAAAAGGAACAGGCAATTAACTCTGTCACATTCAAAGTCCACTATCATCATTAAACCATCTTCGGTGGACAGAGGCAGACAGGAATCAGCATGGTAGCCGTGGTTGACGTAGTTAATGAGAAAGGCATACCCAGCCTCAGTTATTTTGATGGTAGGAGTAGATGATTATTCAAGGAGCCACTCTGAATGGATGGATAGGAAATTAAGTGATTTGTGCGGTAGAATCTTAAACTGGTACTATTGATGACTGGTAGTTATAAGCTTTATTAGCCTAATGGGACTGGTTCCCCCATGTATAAGGACTGTTCAGCCTGAGAGCAGATGCAAGAGAATGTGAATGGATATGCATTATGAGCTTTCAGGTTTATCTTCTCCAGGTGCCAAAACCACTAGTTTGATTTCTAATTCATTCTCTTTTAGAGGGGAACACACCTTTACAGGTTCGATTATTATCACAGGCTCATCTCAGAGACACAGTTCCAGACTCCCACAATAAAGCGAGCCAAACAATTTTTTTGATTTCCTAATGCATATAAAAGTTGTTTGCCCTATTCTGCAGTCTAGTACATGTGCGAGAGCGGTATATCTACAGAAACAATGTGCATACCTTAATTAAAAAAATACTTTTTGCTAAATAAACAGTGCTGGCCATCATCAATCCTTTTAGCAAGTCAAAGTCTCGGTCCCAGGTGACCATAACAAATATAATGATAATGGAAAAGTTTGGAATACCGCGAGAATTGTCAAAATGCGACGCTGAGGCACAAAGTGAGCAAATGCTGTTGGGAAAATTGTGCTGATAGACTTGCTCGATGCAGGGTTGCCACAGACCTTCAGTTTTGTTTTAAAAACAACACAGTATCTGTGAAGCGCACAGTAAGATGAAGTGTAATAAAACCTGGTATGCCTGTAATTTACTGGAGTCAGTTTCATGGACTAACATACGGTGTGTTCTGTATACTGTCCCCTGTGCCCTGGAAAAGAATGCATTTTGCCATTGTTAAGTGGATTGTTCTACAGATGTAGGTTTATAGCATTGCTCAAGTCTTCCGTTTCTGTTTTTATTTCCTACCGTGTTTTATCTATTTTTAAAACATTCGCTGAAGATTATGGTTGAACTGTTCTTTCTTCACTTCTGTAAGCTTTCATTTTATGTATTTTTTTAAATTTTTTTTTTATGTTTTATTTATTTCTAGGGGAGAGAGAGAGAGAGAGTGTGAGCAGGGGAGGGTCAGAGAGAGAGGGAGTCACAGACTGAAACAGGCTCCAGGCTCTGAGCTGGCAGTCAGCACAGAGCCCGACGCAGGGCTCGAACCCACGAACCGCGAGATCATGACCCAAGCGAAAGTCGGACGCTTAACCGACTAAGCCACCCAGGCGCCCCTCATTTTATGTATTTTTGAGTTTAGTTGTTGGGTCCATATATGTTTAAAATTGTTGTAATTTCCTATTGGACTGACCCTTTTATCAATCATTATAAAACGGTGTTCTTGTTTTTAATAACTTTTTGCTTCGAAGTATTTTGTCTGTTAGGCACATCCACTCTAGATCTCTTCTAAATACAGTTTGTATTGCAATCCCTCTCCATCCTTTTGGTTTCAGCCCATCTATGTCTTTGAATATACGGTATGCCTCCTATAGAGGAAATAGTTGCATCTCACTTTTTGATCATTCTGAAAATATTTGCCCTTCCATTGGATTGCTTAATCGACTCATTTAAAGCTGGTGTTGACACGTAGTTGGATTTACAATGGTTGTTTTACTTTCTTGCCCCCTCTGTGTCCCATGTATTTGTTTTTGTTCCTCTTTTCTTCTTTATTTGTCTCTTCTGCACTGAGTGAATATATTCCAGTGTAACATTGAATTCCTTTAGTGATTTTTAATGGATTTGTGGAGTTATTTTCTTAGTGGTTATTTTAGGGGTTACAACATACAGCCTAACTTCTCACAATATATTTCAGGTTTATACTAATTTAATCCCAGTGACATTATTTTTATATAGCTCTGTTCTCTCTTCCTTTTTACCTATCACAGTTGTACGTATTATTTTTATGTATGTTACAAATCAAAGAATACATCACTGTTATCACTTTATATATATTTTAGAGCAAGTATATATTCATATAATATATATGAATTTATCTTCTTTGCCACTTCTGATTCTTTCCCTTTGTTTTTTGGGAATTCACATTACCGTCTGGTAACATTTCCTTATTCCAAGAGAGTTCCGCTCCTACTAAACTCACATGTACTATTAATACCAAATATATTACAAGTTAAAGGCCCACCAGTATAATTTTATACATATGATTTTTTTTTTCAATATTTTTATTTCTAGGAGACAGAGAGAGAGAGAGAGAGAGAGAGAGAGAGAGAGCGTGAGCAGGGGAGGGTCAGAGAGAGAGGGACTCACAGACTCTGAAACAGGCTCCAGGCTCTGAGCTGTCAGCACAGAGCCCGACGCGGGGCCCGAACCCATGAACCGTGAGATCATGACCTAAGCGAAAGTTGGACGCTTAACCGACTAAGCCACCCAGGCGCCCCTTTATACATATGATATTACTCTTTTAAAAAGTGAATGGATGGAGGTAGAATATATATTCAGCTGTACTGTCCTTGGTAGTTATGTATATAATTGCCTTTATCGGCAGTATTGTCTGTTTAATTCATTTTCTACTTACTTTTTTCATGTGGGTTTGAATTACTGTCTGGAATCTCTTGGTTTCAACCCCAAGAATTTCCTTTAATATTTTCCTTAATGTAGTCCTTTCGGCATTAAATGATGTTTATTTCTCTTTACCTGGAGATGTCTATTTCATCTCCATTTTTAAAAGTTAGTTATGCTGGATATTAGATTTTGATCAACAGTTTTTGTTTTGTTTTGTTTTGTTCTTTGCCTGCAGCGTCTTAGATATGTCATCCCTCTGCTTTCTAACCTCCAAAATTTGTGATGATAAATCACTTGCTACTCTGATTGGGATTCTGTTCTCTGTGATGAGTCATTTCCCCCTTGCTGCTTTCAAAATTCCCTGTTTCAACATCTTTAATCTCATATGTCAGAGTGTGGGTATCATTTCATTTATCTTACTTGGAATTTGTTGAAACCCTTCAATGTGGATTTCTTCATCAAATTTGGGAAGTTCTCACCCTTTATTCATGTATCTGACTATGTCTGTTATTTTCTTTCTTTCCTACTTTGCTCTTATCCCATGATGTTAGTGCCATTGATGGTTTGCCTCATTCTTCTGAGGCTCTGCTCACTTTCCTGCAACTTTTTTCTTAGTCTTCTTCGACTGCATAATGTTCCTTCATCTATCTGCAGGTTTTCTGGCCTTTTCCTCCTCCGGCTGAAATGTAGCACTGAGTCACTCAAATGAAGCTTTGATTTCCGCGACCATGCTGCTCAACTCTAGATTTTTTACTTTTTTCTTTTTTATAACTTCTGTTTTTTTAATTTTTAATGTTTATTTATTTTCAAGAGAGAGAGAAAGCAGGGGAGGAGCAGAGAGAGAGAGAGGGAGACATAGAATCTGAAGCAGGTTCCAGGCTCTGAACTGTCAGCACAGAGCCCGACACAGGGCTCGAACTCACGAACCGCGAAATCATGACCTGAGCCGAAATCGGATGCTCAACCGACTGAGCCACCCAGGCGCCCCTGAGAATTTCTGTTTCTTCATTGCTCTCCTGCATGTGATGAGGCTTTATCCTCATATTTTTCTTTATCCTGTTTAACCATTGTTTCCTTTAGTTCCTCGAACATATTTTATAACAGCTGCTTTGCAGTCATTGTCTCGATGTCTGCCAACTCTCATGTCTGGCCCTTTCTAAGGCTTTTTTGCCCCCATGTAGGAATTGCATTTTCCTGTTTCTTTACATGCCTTGTGATATTTTTTTGAAACCTTCATGTTAGGGGCGCCAGGGTGGTTCAGTCGGTTAAGCATCTGACTTCGGCTCAGGTCATGATCTCACAGTTTGTGGGTTCGAGCCCCGTGTCAGGCTCTGTGCTGACAGCTCAGAGCCTGGAGCCTGCTTCAGATTCTGTGTCTCCCCCTCTCTCTGCCCCTCCCCTGCCCATGCTGTATCTCTCTCTCAAAAAGAATAAACATTAAAAAATAAAATAAATAAAAGAAAAAGAAAACTTCATGTTAAATAATGTACGGTAGCAATTCTAGACGCTGGTTTCTCCGTCCCCTGGGCTTATTGCTGCCTCTGTTTTCTTGTTTACGTGTTTGTAAGCATAGACTTGGCTGGCCTGTTTCAGTGATGTCTGTCCCTGATTTGCTGCACGGAGCCCATGCCGCGGTCTCAGATGGTCATGGTGGAGTCAGGTGCTCTCTGACCGCCCTTTCCCTGTGGCGTTTCTGTCTGGTTGGTATCACACCCAGCTGTTCGTCTCAGTCCCCAAGTGCCCAAGGATTGTCCTGTTACTCTGGACAGTTCCCAGGAGTATCATTTGTTCCGAGATCTGTTCCAATTCAATTCCATTCTGTCGTGGGGTTGGTCTTTGAAGTCAGCCTTTATGATGTGTTCTAAATTACCAGTTATTTTCCTGACATTTTCTGTTAAACTTGTCCCTGTTCTCCGGTCGGCCTGGTTGCTGTTGAGGAGCTTGAGAGTCTCCTCTTAATTGTTACCAGAAAATGTCTGCTGTTTTTGAGATCCTTAGGCTTGAACTTCTCTACACTGTGCCTAAAAGTGTAACTTTCTTTGGAGAAAGCTATGGTGCTCTTTGTTCTTGACCTACCTCTCTTTGTGGGCAAAACGTCTACATTACTGCTCTGAGCAATGAAGGGAGGCGGGGGCAGTGACCTACTTCTCTTGAACTAACGCTCCTCCTTTATGAATAGGGTACTGCGGGGGGGGGGGCGGGGGTTAACCTCTGGTCTCTCAGCTTCCCTCTCCAGGCAGACCAACGCTATGAGCGAGCTCGAGCAAGTGTAATTAGAGCCAAACATTCCCAGCCTGCTGTCCCTGCTGGAGACCTTCTTTCCTACCAACGGGGGGCTGAGGGGGGAATGGGGGCCTTGCAAACTCAGCGTCTCCTGCCTGCGCTGGGGATTCAGTGGGGTGGTGAGAAGTGCTAGTGGTTTGCTTCTCAAGGGGGGGTACTGTAGCTCTAGAAGGCAAGGGTCAGGCGGAGGAAACTGTGCAGTTGTCTGAAACTTCCCTAAGTAAGGGTCCATCATGGTGAATTGCGGTGGGGTTGGGAGAAGTGGGTTTAAAGGGCAGACTTTCACGGTTCTTAATGAAATTTAGTAAATTTTCTTGAATAAATGTACTTCCATTTGCTGTCTCCATTAAGATAATTTCCAGAAACTATCTATCTATCTATCTATCTATCATCTATCTATCTATCTCTCTATCATCTATCTATCTATATTTAAATCCATTTTACCAGTTATGGTTGTTTCACTGGGGAAAAGGCCCACAGAAGGTATCATGCACCATTCCAGAAGTGTCCGTCATGAAATTTAATTACCTTTTGATGTCAGAATAGCGTTATTATTTTGAGTTCAATTAACCATGTCAGGAATACATTCGAAACGATATAGGTAAGTTTGTGTTTCCACTGGTGGAAGAGGTTGGGACGTTTCCTTACACCAATGAGAAGGAAAATAAATAATTGACTGTCGTTAACATTACTAATCCACTCCCAAATGTGATGCCAAAGGCCTTCCAACACCTTCTCCGCACGTGCATTGATGTTAAAGGTGGGGATGCTGGGCAGTGGGAGGTCTGTCTCTCAGGTGGAAGATAGGGCCCTCGTGAAAAGTGAAACGTTCTGTTTACTTCTGAAGACGTGCTCCCCTCTAAAGGGGTTCCGTGCTGAGCGTACTTCTTATTAAAGTTCTCCCTTTGCGCTTTGACTACCATATTAATACGCGGTGGATTGTTTCTTGTTTTGTTTGTTGTTTTCACTCTCCTCAACCTGTAGAGAAGAGGAAAGCCAGCCTGCTGGACCAGCTCACCAACAGCAGTGGGACTGTCATTGGCGTGACTTCCTGCATTGTGATCATCCTTATTATCATTTCTGTCATTGTGCAGATCAAACAGCCTCGTAAAAAATATGTCCAAAGGAAATCGGACTTTGAGCAGACAGTTTTCCAGGAGGTGTTTGAGCCTCCGCACTATGAGTTATGCACTCTGAGAGGGGCAGGAGCTCCAGCTGACTTTGCAGAGGTGGCCGAGGACTTTGAAAACTACCACAAACTGCGGAGATCCTCGTCCAAGTGCGTTCACGACCACCACTGTGGGTCACAGGTGTCCAGTACAAAGGGCAGCCGCAGTAACCTCAGCACAAGAGATGCCTCTGTCTTGACGGAGATGCCCCCCCAGCCCATCAAACCCCTCATCCCGCCCATGAACAGAAGGAATATCCTCGTCATGAAACACAACTACTCGCAGGATGCCGCGGATGCCTGTGACATCGACGAGATTGAGGAGGTGCCCACGACGAGTCACAGGCTGTCCAGACACGACAAAGCCGTGCAGCGGTCAGTATCAGTAGATTTTTTGATGACCACTATAACCTGAGGACCGAAATGCCTCCAAGAATGTTGTGTTCTAGTTTGATCTGCATATTTCACTTTCTCTTTTTATTAACGATTCAAGCCATAGTATCTCGATTTTTTTTTCCTCGCCTTTTTCATTTCCAGTGCTATCCATGCCCTTCCTAAACCCTGTTGACGCACATAGGTGTTTGTGTGTGAGCACACACAGACCAAAGATATTTCACTTATTTCTACACAGATTATGGTCTTAATTTCTGTCGTAAAGATGTCTTGCTAATTTGCTTCCACATAGTCGTAATTGTTGCTCTCATCAACATTTAATATATTTTCAGAGATGAAACAATATGTGGAAGTAATTGCCTTACCAAGATGGTTAACCCATCTTGTTGAATAATTTTAATGTAAAAATAACGTATTTTGCAATATAATGTATTTTATTTTTTGTATGAAAATGAAAATACTAAAATCCTTTTTTCTACATAGCACATGATACTGACGTTACAAATTGCATAGAATAGTATGGTATGCTAAAATACAAAACATTTCTATTTAAATGTAGAAAGCAATAGTAGCAACATTTGATTCATTTTCCTTTTAACTGAAAGATACTATTATCTGTATTGAATTATTAGCCATAAAATCAGTCAAAATTTTGAGGAAAGAAAATTTAATTTAGATAAAAAAACTATTTTAAATCCCCCAGTCCAAAATACATACGTTTTATTTTGCATGTTGACTATCATTTAGTTTGTTTTATAAATGTACATACTTTTGCAATTCATTATGCACCCTCAGAACCTTAGTGGATTTAATATGTTTGCATGCTGTTGGAAAAGAAACCTATTTCCACAGTTTTATGAATTTTTAGGAATGTTTTTAAGTAACTATTTGTATGGATATTTATTTTTTGTGCAAATATTACTTTGTTGAATGAAATAGCCGTAACATTCCAGGTTCTGCCTCATTGGGTCTCTAAGCAAACATGAATCTGAATACAACACAACTAGGGTCTAAAAAGAAAATTCAAGGTAAGCAAATGCCCTTGGTTCCTTCTCCCACCTTGTACTCTGTTTTGTTTCGTTTTGTTGCAGTTGTCTTGTTGATTTTTTAGGGAATGTGCTCTTTATTCATAATTTCTTGAGATATATGTTTCATAATATTTCATAACCAGAAATATAATGGATTCAGTGCTAACGGAGTTACGATTTTTCGTATACCTATCTTTCAAATCAGTATTCATCTTCTTCCCATCAAGCATTGTGCTCTGCAGTGTCATTAAAAAGGATGTTAAATTAGGAAGTTAAATTTTACATGTTCTAAAGTTAAAATCCAAAGCCTAGTAAACTCTTTTTAAAGGATCAGAAGAAATGCAAGTTTCTCATCATAAAAAGAATTGAGTTGTTCTCAATATAAGTGAAGTCAATATATAAAGTTGGTAATTTCCTTATTGATTTCATTTGGTAGTATTCTACTCAGACTCATACACTAAGTATTTGGTGGTACTTCTACAATTTGTGCACTCTTATTTTTGCATGAATACGTAGCTTCTTTCACCAAGATTAAATGCAGCATGTTATGTCAAAATCTATGAAATCAAATTTTATGATATAAAATTTGAATGCTTAGCAATGCAAATGTTCCATAAATACTAGTGGTCTGTGTGTACATCTATTTTGTGATCAAATATCATAGCAGCTTTACTTTTAGCACTTGATAATCTGTATCTATATTGGACTAATCTGTCTCCAATTAAATTTGCTTGACAGCTAAACTCTTCAAAACACTTCAAGCCTATCAACTATTCTTGAATTAGGTGAATGCATTTCCATGCTCGATAGTACCTTGATAAATTGGTGTATTTGTATGCATTTTTTCATTGGGAGAAAATGTTTTAACTGTGTTTTATTTTCAGAGAAGAACTATTTATACAAACATGGGGACTGTGAAAAGAAAATTCTATAGTGAATTGTGAAAAGTGGACGTATTTCTAAATTCATTCCACTGCCTTTATCCAAACTTAAGAATTACAGACATTTGTTATTCCTTCGGCAAGACACCCCTGCTGCACATGATATGTTCATTTCGTAATTTGGTTGCTGGCCACCAAGTGCTCCTTAGTTTTTAAATACATTTTGAGATTTACCGGAAACTTGAAGACGAAATTAGTTCCTGATTCAGACTACCCCAATGTTTATTTTTGCTGTTAGTTTCACTTCGTTTCCATGTTGTTTTATGTCCTCATTATATGATTGTACGTTGTGTGATATGTGAAAAATACGACTTCAGATGAACTTTATGTTACATGTACATTGTTTTCATTAGATAGACTACTTGAGAATAGTGCGCTCCTGGGTGATTTTGAACGTGCTACAGTTAAGAAGTGAAAATATGGACCATGGGAGCACCAGCTAGAGGTTTTGTGGACTCTCACCATCTATTGTTGTATTTTGATTAAATGCAGCTGAAAGTCTTGAGTAAAAATAACTAGATTGCAATAAGAAACATCTCATTTTTTTTCTTGGTCTTTCCCAACCCCCCCCCCCCCCCAGTTTCCTTTTTGTTTTATATCAAAGGAAGACACTAAGTTTCAGAAATCGTTTTTGGAAATCAGGTATTTTACCATTCATACCCTTCAATAGAAATGTTTTTTTGATGAAGCACTTAGCAGTATGACTGAATTGACAGTGTGAGAAACTACCCTGCATGTCAGTACTGGATATTTGAGTTGGGAAATTATCCTTTTTATTAGACACATTGTAAAAAGCATGCATCCTCAGTACTGCTGTTACACTTACATTCCTTTGTGTCATATGCTTGCTACTTGTAATTTTGATATAAAGATATATAAAAAATGTATAATAACTTCCTAACTTGAGTTAAGAAAAATGTTTTCTTCTATTAGAGTGATGAAAAAAAACCCCACCAGACTTACATAAGTGCACACTTTATATCAACTCTTTCTACCTGTTAGGCTCTAGGATGTCTTTTAGTATTGAGGCTTACTTCTCTAAAATTTGATCTTGAAAATTTTATGGAGTATGTTCTCCTTTTAGAATAGGAAAATCTTTTTAAGTGCTTTAAAATCACAAGTCCTCCTTTGCCCCACATTATACCATTCTGAGTTGCTCTCATACTGAGGCACACAAATACTACCTGAAAGCTTACTAATCATGATGTGTTTAATATAAATAAAGTAAAACCATATGATATATTTACTTGCTGTTGAATTATATACACACTCTATAAACTTTGATTTAGTGAATGGTACTTTTTAATTATCGAATGTGTATTCTTAGAAAATAAACGTTAAAAATCAGAATTACTATCAATCTGCTTACCAGCATCTCCCAAACTGTTGAATTCTATAGAATTCTGTCTTTCTAATAGCAAAGCAATCTAGTCCAGCACAGTTCAAAGTTTGTGACCCAAGCTGGCTTTACAGACCCATAGATGAGTTACTTGCATACATCCCTGTTAGGAATTCAATTTCATATGTGTTACAAAAAAATTACTTGGGAAAGAAAATAAAATTTTATGATAGAAACATTAAAGAATTGTCAAAGCAATTCTGAATAGCCTATATTGAAAAAAGTCAATACACATAATCATTTCCATGAATGTGATAAACTGATGAATAGAAAACGATATTGAACATGACAGAGAAATATTATTTTTATTGTTTTGCTACATATTTTATACACACTGCTTATCTGATAATGTAGCCTTTATTATTTGACTTGGCTGGTTTATTTAATCTCATGCAAACTCTTATGCCCTTTAATTTAAATGTAATGCCTCCACAGGTTATTTTTGAAGTGATTGGCCATATTTATGTTACTTTCTCTATTAGAAATCTTCATAGGCCCTTTACTATTTGAATGAATAATCTCAAAAAAGTATGATATACATGTATGAATAATCTCAAAGTATAATATATATTCATACACATGCATATATTTGTGTATGTATGTATATATGTATATATACATATACATATATATATATCTCAAGATTTATTTCCAACAGAAAACAAAAAAAGAAAAATAAATTAAGTGAACCACTTGCCCTGTAGCGGTCCACAGGCAGCTCTTCCCAAATCTGCAGAATCTTCTGAGGCGCTGGTTCACTGCTGAAAAGATCTTTGCACCAGAAATCTGCTAATGGAGATTCAACAGCAATGAAAAGTCCAACCACACTAAGTAAAATGATGAAGACGGATTTCTTCTTTACATTTAAGGCACAGCAGCTCCGGGGGCAAACAAAAATATTGGTAGTGAAGAATAGGTCTTCTCGGTGGTCATGCTAAGGATATTTACACACGTTTTTGACGAATCAGAAGAGAAGGTAGTGGTGATGCTGAACAGAGACCTGGAGGCATCCTGTTGGGCCTTGGAGTATCTCTAGATGCTGGAGCTTGAGAGCGTGGGGGTCCGTGATACCCAGGAGGCCCCGGGGCGGGGGGGGGCGGCTTCTTAAAAGCCACTACTGAAATTTATCAGTATCTTAAACACTCCTGCTTACTGGCATATCAGACCCTGTCACCTGAACATCAGCCTTCCAGTTCCAATGGGGAGACACGTTGTCGGTAAGGAATGAGATGTTTCAGTACTCTTGAGATGTTTCAAGATGTTTCAAATCCAGTTATTTTAATAAATAATTACATTTTTTGATAAAGTGAATTCAAATAGTACTTACACAAGTGCTTTATTAATTCCATAAGATGTTCTTCAAAAGCATAATTACACAGTATGCTAGTTAATTTGAAAAAGCTGTTTTCCTTTTATTTATTATATTTTTGAATTTACTTTCAAACACCAGGAGACATACCGTGATTGTATGCAACACCTGTGAACACTGCGTCCAGCCTCTTCCTTTTTTCCAAGTGCATTTCAGCTGCTTAATTCGAGACAGGTGTACTGATTTGGAAATACTATTTTTGAGGACCTGCTTTTATATACGGGCAATTTCTAGGCATCATATAGCCAGGCAGACATATGTAATGTTTGATTTTTCCATCATTCACTTGCACTTATCGGACAATCAAAACGTGGCTATAAACAGAACTATAGATCAATGTCACTGAACTTTTAAAGGAGAACAGTCCACATTGTGGAAATGTCAGCTTTTCTGTTTCGCATTATTTTATTTACACTAAAAATATTTTAATGGGTCTGACTCCATAAACTGTCATTCTTGCTGTTTAATAAAGTTAGGTCTTTGACAAAAGCTGAATGAATATGCAGATAAGCTGTTGCATCAACTTTTTCTATATTTTTCCTTTAGGAATTTGGGTTTTTCTCAAATTTGATAGCTTTTTAAAAAATCCCATGAATCGATTTTCCTTGACCTCAGAATATCATCATAAATGACAAAATATGATACTGGGTCCTGTTACCTTAATTAAAGTAATGATGAATAATTTATTCATTTATGTTTTGGTGGTGAAATAAATGATAGCATTTTATCTTATTATGAAGTTTGTATATTTCAATGATGACAATGTCCTGTCAGATTCCAGCTCTGGAGGGAGGTTAAATAAATAAAATCTTTAAAATTCTCTAAATGTATATGATTTGAAAAGTGAGTTTCAGTTTCTTCTTACTTTGCTGAGGTGAGTTAGTTTCGATATCATATCTAGTGAGCCATTCTTTCTCCTCTTTGCTTGTTTCTGTCTGTCACACTCAGGGCACAGAGGGCCCAGTCAGCAAATTGTTAAATAGATGAAGAATAGAAGAATCGGGATTTGAATTTATTATAAATCTCCTATCCCTTTAATATTTCACATTCCTCTCTTAAAGGTTGAAAAAAAAGTAGCAAAATGGGGTGCCTGGGTGGCTCAGCTGGTTAAACATCTGACCCTTGATTTCGGCTCAGGTCACGATATCAAAGTTTTTGAGTTCAAGCCCCAGGTCAGGCTCTGTGCTGGCAGTGCGGAGCCTGCTTGGGATTCTCCCTCTCTCTCTCTCTCTCTCTCCACCCTTACCCACTCATGCTGTATTTGTCTTTCTCAAAATAAATAAGTAAATAAAATTTTTTAAAAAGTAGCAAAATAAAATATATTGTAAAAGTAGCCAGAGTTGTGTTTTTTCTAATCTTGTTCCATAAATCTTATCCCTTTTGTTAACATAGATTTATCCTGATTTATTTTATTAATGAATTGTTTAAATTGTACTACAATTTCTTTAACTGAGTAATAACATTCAAATAAATCTAACAGTGTCCTAGAAATACCAAACATTGGTGACCAATGTCAGACATTCATTATATCTCATCAGTTTTTATTGTGGCCTCTAGTTCTGTACTTCTTTCTGCATTATTAAAGAAGTAAATGCCCTCTTAATATATCTTTAATTCCTCAAGGTAGGAAAATAAAGTCTCCCTGCTTCTGACTTACATCATTTCCCAGAATCTAAGGTTGTTTCCCGAAAATGTTTTATTCCTGTACCAGTATGATTGTATAGTTTACACTGCTTTACATTCGTAGCAATTGTGCAGTCAACATATTCTCATCTGTTCCCAACTCATACTACCTCTCCAAATTCTGAGGCATGCCATTTTATATTGGTTCATTCTTTGAAAAGTTTTCTTTTTTTTTTTTGCTCTCTTGCTAATAATTACAAGTACAGACACAAAATATAGCAGTGAGGAGAATATATAATGTATAAATTATTTAAAGGGAAATATTTCTACTATACCACACTATAAAATTTGTATTGTTTAATCACTTTCTCGTGAGTTAAGTTTAACATCAGCATAGCTGGGAACACCTGGGTGCCTCAGTTCAGCTCAGGTCATGACCTCACAGTTTGTGAGATGGAGCCTCGCATTGGGCTCTGTGCTGTCAGAATCTGTTAGGGATTCTCCCTCTCTCCCTCTCTCTGCCTCTTCCCCATTGACACTCTTTCTCTCTCTCCCTCAAAGTAAATAAAAAACATTAAAAAAATTTTAACATGAACATAGCCAGCCTCTTTTGAGCTTATACAATCTATATACTGGGATTTTCATAATTGCTTTGGAAAAGAAAAAGAAAAGGCAGCAATCTATTGGGGGACATAATTATGGAGCTTCGTAGAAGAGAGTGTATTTAGAAGAACTAGATCAAATAATGAAACCCCAAATTATTTGCCAAGTTTTTCACCTTATGCTAATTAGTTACCTCTTCATGATCTTGACTGGAAAATAAAATATATTCATTTGCCAAGAGAATGTAATACAGATGATGTTTTGTGATAAAGAAATTAGTAGCATAAATATGAGATACAAATATCTTCTCAAGGGGATCAAGAGAGGCTTACTGAATGGCTGTCCTTCTAAGCAAATTTGAAGGTTGGAGGCCATCAAATAGTGGGGCAAAGAGAGATTTTCACCTAGAGAAATGGAAGCAGGGAGCGGTCCCAGGAGGCCTTGTAATTTATTTGAGTTAGCTGGAGCGTAGGAGTTGATAAAAGGAGAAAGAGTAAATATAGTTGGAAGACTAGTTTGGCATTTGCATCATGATTTCTGAGCACATGCAGTTTCATCTAAAGGAGTTCATATTTTTCCCATGGAGAATATTTCAATGTTTTATAGTATGATACAGTTTATGAACGATACTTTAAGTTGAATCCTCTGACACCAATGTGTTTGTCCAGTTGAATGAGACTGGAATAGGTAAAAGTAATAGAAACAATACACGAACAAAACACTAAAAAAGAATAACCAGTTGGTAGATATCCAGAAATATATGTCTTGCTTTTCTATTTCATGCCAATTTTTTTAAGTTTCAAGATTACAATTGGATATCTAAACAATGCAGTAAGTGCTATATGCTAAACACCATTCCAAGTGTTTTACAATTAAATATTCTTTCGGTCATCTTAGCAGTTGTGACACTAATAATAGCAATGCTTCTTGTTATGGTTGTTACTCTACTGTATATATGAGGAAATTGAAAATAGTTTTATTAACTTTTCCAAGAGTGCATGATTGGGAATGATAAATCTGGCTCCTACTCAGAGCTGATTAATACCTGAATCAGCCAGCAATCTTCACCCATGTGCATATGCCCCTCGAAGAGTAAATATAGTACCTTTTGCTGAAAGTAGTTCATTCATATTCATAGTAACTCCATCCTTTTGTGTTTCCTCAACTGTGAAAATATATATTATAGCAACATCTCTCCACCCTGGAGATTTTAAGGGTCAAATGACAATGCATCGGAGGATATTCTGTATATCCTTAAATACATTATAAATGCATAATTTTTCCTAAGCCATGTGTAAATTTCATTTATAACTGACATGGAACAAATGCATCATCTATCAAGAGCAGTAATGAAGAAAGATCTCTAGTCTTCTTGTATTCACAGTGAGATGACTGACTTCCAGAACCCACTGATATTCAAGGGAATGGCATTTTCTTGGACGCTTATTTTATTGTATCATCTTACTGAACTCCAGAGCTCCTAAATGACCCTCTAAGCCTTGTCATCAAATATACGCAGAAATACTAACACTTGAAAGAAAATCCTGTTTTCAATGCTAGACAATTGTTTGATATAAATTTGATTATGTAAGTAGTGAGTAAGCAAGCATGTAGACCACTATAGTCTCCTAACTACAATGGTGATATAAAATGTGGTATAATGCACTAAAACCCATGAATCCCTTTTCAGCAGGAAACATGAAATTCAAATTTTAGGTTCACTTCATACTACTTATGTACTCTTACAAAAAGCTGTTGGAACCCTCTGAGCTCCGGGGTCTTTATCTGTGAAAGAGAGAGCCTACACCTAATGAAAAATAGTTGCTGAGAGACTCGGAGTTAGTGATGCCCATAAACAAACAACAGGAAACCTGTTTTACCAATGTGGGGGCTGTTATTTGCACATTTGTGCATTACCAGTTTGCTCTCCTGGGTGGGAAAGATGTCTCCAGTACGTGACACCTTTATAAATCCATGGACCAGGCACTGTTGATGAGTCAGGAGGGCTCTGTGTTTGGCATTCCCAAGAGTTTAGTCTGCTCAGGGAAATACCTCAGCTTTCAAAGGCAATAATCCACTGACATCAGTGAATGAGGGATCACGAATGATGGGTCCAAATGGAAGGAACGTGGTGGTAGTTAGGTTCAAAGAACAAGGGATCAGACAGTGCCTATTAGCTCTTAATGTGCCACCGTGTGGCATAAGGGAGGATGACCCTGAAAGAGACACCAACACAGATACGGTGTAAATAATATGCTGGGGCACCTGGGGGGCTCAGTCCCTTAAGCATCCGACTTGATTTTGGCTCAGGTCATGATCTCAGGGTTTTGGCTTTCATGAGTCAGGCTCTGTGCTGACAGTGGGGAACCTGCTTGGGATTCTCTCTCTCCATCTCTCTCTTCCCTCCCCTGCTCACACAGGTGTGCGAGCTATCTCTCTCTCTCAAAATAAATACACAAACTTCAAACAAATGTCATTGAGAACTGCTAAATTTTAGACTTTAAGTGTTGGAAGACAATCGTCAGGACTGACCAATTTGGGTATCCTTCAGAATAACTGTTAAGTGCATAGTCAATGTGTGTCTGTTAAATGAGTAATTGAGTAGAAAAATTATTTTAAAAATAAATGAATTTCATTATTTGTGACAGCAGCACTCTCCTGACCTGACACCTGGCTTGTATTTATTAGCCCTTCCTTCTAGAAGTTTTAGAACTAAACCAGTTTGTAAAGTAAGCCTAAAGAGGGGCACCTGGGTGGCTCAGTCAGTTAAGTGTCTGACTTCGGCTCAGGTCATGATCTCATAGTTCATGTGTTGCCCTGTGTCGGGCTCTGTGCTGACAGTTCAGAGCCTGGAGCCTGCTTTGGATTCTGTGCCTCCCTTTCTATCTGCCCCTCGCCCCACTCACTCTCTCTCAAAAATAAACATTTTTTTAAAAAAAATTAAAGAGGGGAATCTGAGTGGCTGTCTTTTAAGAGTCTGACTTTGTCTCAGGTCATGATTTCATGGTCTGTGAGTTTGAACCCCACGTCAAGCTCTGTTCTAACAGCTCAGAGCCTGGAGCCTGCTTCAGATTCTATGTCTCCCTCTCTCTCGGCCCCTTTCCCACTCATTCTCTCTCTCTTTCTCTCTGTCTCTCTCTCTCTCTCTCAAGAATACATAAACCTTAAAAAACATTAAGAATAAATAAAAATAAAGTAAGCCTAAAGAAGTACTATTTAGTAACCATTGTTATAGGCACACTAGCTTAAAAACAAAACAAAAAAAAAAAAAAAAAAACAAACAACAAACTAATTTGAGGTTCTGCTTTCCAAGCAAGCACACACACAATACGAATAAGAAAATGGTAAGTTTTGAAGAACCAAACTTAGACTACCATGTAAATAGAATTGCGTGAAGTATGTACCAATTCAGTATACTTAGGAACTGTGTGTCATTCATGACTTTTAACTTCTCTATACTTAGGAACTGTGAGTCTTTTAAGATTTTTAACTTCTCACATACGCTAACTTTATGAATGAAAGTGTCTTTTTAAAAATACCACTCTTTAAAACACAACTTTTCCAGGTAGATCATCATTGTCATGATGTATCTTATGAACACGTTTTCCTACGATACACTTGCCCCACTTTCTGAAAGAACATTCTTTATGTGTTAAAAAAGATGAAGTCATTACCTGGTATTAATAACTATTCTGTAAAATGTTAATGCCCTTGGGACCAAATACTCTCTGTTCACGTTGTATAGCCGAGCTTTTCCCCCATTGATATTGAGACTTTCACAAGTTATGTGGGTATTTTCTGACCAGACGTTTACTTTTCAGTTGCTTGTAAATGGGCATCATTTGTTTAAGGACTGTGGCTGTTGGTGAGATCTGCTCTGTCCCCTCCGGATGGACTGCTCGGAATTACCGGGACTGGGACCCTGCACCCTGGCCATTTCCTTTGCCAGCTGGTCCCCAATCAGAGCTCCTAACGGAAGGTAGAGGAAGAGGGTTCAAAGACAGCTCAAGACCTCAAGGACTTGCCGTTTGCTTCTCTTCCCTGTTCGTGTGCTGTGAGCATCTCGCTTGAACCTGACAACAGACTGCAGTTTCTCTTGTCACCGGGAGACCAAACCTCCCAGTGTCCCGCAGACACGGCCGCACCGGCCCGGCGTGCCCTCCTCGGATCGCTGAGCCCTGCCTCCACAGGACACCTTCTAGATTCCAGATTCTGAAAACCCTCCTTTGTTCCCTGTGTTTCCTGAGTCTGAAGACTGGTCAGGCTTCACACAGCGTGTGATCTCTGTGCTCCCTCCTAATTCCCGGTGTGTTTTCCCGACCTTCCAACCTGTGAACAGATTCCTTTTATCACACTCCCTCTCAACGTACCCATTCTGTTTTCTGTTTTCCTGGCTGGGGGATGAAGATGGACTTTAACTGGCATTTTGGACCTTGTTCAGAATATTTTAAAATTCTGCCCTGAGATTCTTTGCCTAGCTTATGAAGCGTTGTCCAGTTCAATTTCATACACTGGTTAAATTACTTCTGAGTTAGTTTTATAGCATGAGCTATTCAAATTTATATGACGATAATGCCTATGTTTATAAGGAACAGGAGCTCCCTTTCCTGCGGTGGGTAGTCCTCAATTCCTGTTGAGATTTATAAGTGGGGGGAGGGGGGATATTTGTAGTGACATGACATTGAAATGAAACCATTATGGATCCTCTTTCTAATTTATATTCCAAACCTCGCCAGCTCCAGGCAGCTTCTTAATTCATTTATGTGCACATAACCAATTCTTGTGGATCTTTACTTTATTCTCCAGGAATAAAGTGTTGTTTTTGTTTGTTTACTTGTTTGCTTTCAAAATGGCTGGGCAACTTTGGCCTACTGACATCTTCAGGAGAGCCTAGAGGCCTCACTCGGATGTATTAGAAGTTTCGGAGCAATTCCTAGGAGAACTAGTAATTGAAATTCTAACTCATCAGCCATAGAACTTGCAAAGTGAACATTTTATAAGTTCAGTTTTTCACAGGGAGTGCCTTCGAATCCAATCACCTGTTGGTAAGAATTTTAATTCTAAGGAACTTAGTTTAATTTAATCTGAACCAACCAACTTTTATCTTAACGGAGCAGGGAAACAACTAAATGTGGCTGATAGGTGAACTGAATAATTTTGACGCAGTCTGTGGTCTATTTAAATTGCCGTGTTTGGCAGTTAGTGATTCTACACGAGAAAAGATCCACTTTTCTGGGTTAATCAGATGAAACCATAGCTTGTTATGGTAAACTAATTTCATACAAAAAATATTCTTGACGCCACTTAAATTTGGATTTTTACCAGAACATTCACATGCATTTCTCCCTGTTTTCCTAGTAAATCTAGCAAATGTAGCCATTTTTGAAGGCGCCAAAAAAAAAAAAGAAAGAAAGAAAAACAAGATTTACTTCAGTGGAGTGGAAACCAACCAAACACTAGCTGTGCATTGAAGTATTAAAATAAGTAACCACTGGCAAATATTCAGTTTGCATACGACACTGTTCTAAGTATCTTATAGGTATTTGCACAGTTAATCCTCACAACAACCTTACTAGGTAGATTTTAGCTTTATTGAACAGATGAGAAAATGAGGTCCAAAGAAGTTAAATATCATTCCCAAGATCATGTAACTAATCCATCATGAGGCCTGGATTTAAACTTTGGAAGTCTGGACACAAAATCCATAGTCTTTTTAAAAAAAAAAATATTTTGTCATTTATTTATTTTAGAGAGAGAGAGAACACCCCAAGCAGGCTCCAAGCTATCAGCACAGAGCCTGATGTGGAGCTCAAACCCACAGACTGTGATATCATGACCTGAGTGGAAACCAAGAATCAGATGCCTAGCTGAATGAGCCCCCCAGGAGCCCTCAGAGCCATAGTCTTGACTGTGCATCAAGTTACTTATTGATTTTAGTAAATGGGAAGGAAAATATTAGTCACTGACTTAAATCTTTCTAACCTAGTGAGCACAGAAACAGGAGAGAAAAGGGACAGATGATGGAGATAACATTACCGATTCACCGAATCTCCTTGAAAGCATTTTTTTTTTTTTTTTTTTGAAAGCATTCTTTAGGGAGGCGCCTGGGTGGCTTAGTCAGTTAAGCATCTGACTTTCGCTTAGGTCATGATCTCGCGGTTCGTGGGTTCGAGCCCCGCGTCGGGCTCTGTGCTGACTGCCAGCTCAGAGCCTGGAGCCTGTTTCAGTCTGTGACTCCCTCTCTCTCTGACCCCCCCGCCCCCCGCTCACGCTGTCTCTCTCTCTCTCTCTCTCCTAGAAATAAATAAATAAATAAAACATTAAAAAAAAAAGAAAAAAGAAAGCATTCTTTAGGAATTCCTGGGGCATACTGGAGCAATATCATGGGGAAATCTCTATCTACAAAACCATTTTGGCATGATATACCTGGTCTGTCCAGGTTGCTTATAGTAAATAAATTTAGAGTTTATGGATTTATAGCACAAGGCCTCCTAAAGTCAGCACGTAACTATCTCAGTAATAAATGGCAATGTTTCGTAACTAAAACATCTTACGTTGTATAAGTGACACCTTACATGCAACACTTTGAGAGCTCCTGTGTGTAAACAGTGTTGAGATTCTCCCACTGCAGCTCTAAAGGTCCCAGCGAGTTGGGTGTGTATAGCCAGCTTCCACATATGTCAACTTCACTGCATAATTACCTCTATTCCTTGAATTATGGGTAAATTTTGATTCTGTGGGAGATATGTGATTCTTGTACATCTGACATGAACGTCTGATTTGTTTGCTTTATCAAGGAGTTTCCTACAGTTCAAGTCTTGTGGGATTCCAAGTTCAGGCTGAAGCTGTATGCTTGTTTGGCTTGTCTTGGTGGTTATCACAAGTCCTGTTAATTTATTCAACAAACACACCAGGAACAACAGCAACTCACTCAATAAATATTTATCGCATCTCTACTAGGTTCATGGAGCTGTTTTAGTCACAAAACGGACAAAAATATTTACTCTTTTATGTCATGTAATCCAGGCGAAGGAAACAAAATAAAGAACAAAGCAAGCAATAACAATAAAATTCATGTGGCCTGTTGTGAATGTGCCTTAAGAGAAAAATAAGGTATATTGGGGGGATGAGAGTGTCGACATACAGAATTGGCATCTCATGTAGAAAAGACGTGAGCAGCCTCTCTGGGAATGTGACGTCTGACCAAAATCTTAATGGAGGAAAACGGACGTGTCAGTATCTGAGGGAAGAGACTTTCTGGCAGAAGAAGCATGCTGGGTATGGTTGAGAAGATGCTGTGGTGGGAGAAGAGGGGGAGAGAGAAGGCAGTAGGGATAAAGGGCGGAGTGGCCAGGATTGAGATCAGTCAGGGGTAGTGAAGATTTTGTCCTGACTGAAATGGGAAGCTACTGGAGCGTTTTGTCAGAGGCACAACATGTCTGCTTTCCTGCTCTGCTCTGTCTGCTGTGTTGAGAAGAGCCTGTAAAGCAGCAAGGGGGAGTTGTTGAGGACAGAGGCCAGTGAGTAGCACAGGTGAGACAGGAAGCGGGTGTGTCACATCTGTCAGCGTGCAGCCAGAAGAACCGAAGCTGCCTTATGTATTCCTGGAATTAAAATACATCTAGGAATTCAGAGGTTATATAAGTTTTGGAAAACCCAAGGAGCAAAGGTCAGAGAAGCTTCACCAACGGTCTTTAGCCTGATGGTACCTAGAAGGTTCTGTAATTCTCAAGATTCTCTGGAAAACACCACGAAGCCATTTGAGTCTACAGATAGTTCTGAAGAACATGCCGGCACATGATGATGGGGTTGCACACCTTCTCCAGCTCCTTCTGCTGATGTTCAAATTCTTCTTTTTCTGCAGTCTGGTTCTTATCCAGCCAGTTGACGATTTCATGACACTTGTCCAGAATCTTCTGTTTGTCCTCATCATTTATCTTGCCCTGAAGTTTCTCATCTTCAACAGTTGCTTTCATATTGAATGCATAGGATTCCAGGGAATTCTTGGAGGACACCTTGTCCCGCTGCTTCTCATCTTCAGCTTTGTACTTCTCAGCTTCCTGGACCATGAGCTCAATGTCTTCCTTGCTCAAACGACCTTTGTCGTTTGTGATGGTGATCTTGTTTTCTTTCCCTGTACTCTTATCCACAGCAGAGACATTGAGAATGCCGTCAATATCAAAAGTGACTTCAATCTGAGGAACGCCACGGGGGGCGGGAGGTATGCCTGTGAGTTCAAACTTGCCCAGTAGATTGTTATCCTTGGTCATGGCACGCTCACCTTCATAAACCTAAATGAGTACACCAGGCTGGTTGTCAGAGTAAGTAGCGAAGGTCTGGGTCTGTTTGGTAGGAATGGTAGTACGTGCCCATGCGTCTGGCTGCGCCTCTGGAGAGTAACGGCCTCCTCATCGTTTCCGTCAGTAGCATCTCACATGAGTGCTCATCAGTGACAAAGCCTATCATTAATTTGTACTTTCTAAAATTCCTTGACGTGGGATTATTATCTGCTTGTGGTATTACTTTCAAAGTAGTTTTCTTTTTGTATGTCATTCATTATTCAATGCCTTGGGAGAGAGGGGAGAGAAATAGTGTATGGTGGCACTCTGGCCTCTGGAAGTAGTTCACCCCAATTAATTTAATAACCCCAATTAAGTTAACTGTGAAGTCATTAACTTGCTCATTTTTATGTCATTCTTTCCCACTAGTGTGCCAACATTTTTTTTTAATGTTTTATGTATTTCTAGGAGAGAGAGAGAGAGTGTGAGCAGGGGAGGGTCAGAGAGAGAGGGAGTCACAGACTCTGAAACAGGCTCCAGGCTCTGAGCTGGCAGTCAGCACAGAGCCCAACGCGGGGTCTGAACCCACAAACCGCGAGATCATGACCCAAGCGAAAGTCGGACGCTTAACCGACTAAGCCACCCAGGCGCCCCATGTGCCAACCTTTTGAGGAAAGTAGAGATCCTATTCATTTTTGTATCCCCAAAATGCAGCACTTCCCTGTGCAATCAATATTTTTGTTTGAGTGAAGAACTTTTCCACAATAAAAGGAACTATCATTGGACAGATTGAATGCTACCACACTGAGAGAATCGATATGGACAGACAAGTAGAGAGGTGAATATTAAAACGATATACACCATACAAGAGAAATTACCCATACAAAATTATGATTCAAATTTGAGTGGATTTGTGAAGGAAGCATAGGACATAAAGAAATGTGAAGAGCAGGAAAATATATAAGAAGCAAGGTTTTAAAAAAAGTATGCAGGACTTAGCTAGGCTTAAAACAACTCTGGATTATTTTGAGTAAACCATTTCATTTTTTCTGTTATTATTATTATTATTAATTTTAATCAGGGAATCTTTCAACTATTCGTGATGGTCTTGGGAAGAAAAGATTAGAGATTTATATTCTCGAGGCTTGCCAAATATAATTGAATTGACATGCTTGTATTTTTTTCAGATACCGTCACACTTTTGGTGCAATACTTTGTAAATAGACAGCTCAGTCTTCTTGTCAAGTTCTGAAAGGACATATCTAAGGACTATCCAAGAAAGCATTTTGGAGATTGTGCTTATTAAAAAAAAAAAACAAAAACAAAAAACCAACAATTCAATCAAACAAAACCCTTTTAGAACCGGACTTGATGCCGTTGTTGTCCAGGGAGCACTCTCCATGGAGCACTCAATTTCCCAGATGGTCCTGGGCAGGCTAGAATACACCAGAAGCTGGAGCTCTGTCACAGCAAAGGCAAGCAAAACACATCTCTTAGGAGAGTCCGGTTCTCAACAATAGACGCTTAGTTTTCTCATGTTTTAGAGTAAGCATTCATTGTGAAAATGGCAAGTTGCTACCAGTAAGATAAGGTTAACTGTAAAGAAGATTCTTGGACACACATTATTTTGTTTAACTGTATCCTGACTATCATTCTGAAGGAAGATGTTATTGCGTTCTTCATTTTGCAGGTGAGTAACCTAAATGTTAAAGGCAGTCAGCCGACTTACCCAGTTCCCAGAGCCGGTTAACAGAGGGACTCCCAGACGCTAACCTAGGCTTCCCACTGACATACTCATTTTCTATCAAAGTGCTGACTTTATACACCAAGCCCCAAAGATGTGCTAATGCTTCATATAGTTTTCCGATTCAACCCTCAGAACCGCATTATAGTGGGGGAGGGGGTAAACAGCCCTGTGCTTTTTATGAGTGGATTAATGCTCAGGGACTTTCAATGATCAATGCCAAAGAAAGAATTTAAAACTGTTTGGAGGGTAAAAGCAAAGCAAAACAAAACAAAACAAAAAACCAGTAATACGTATGCATCCTCATCTCTATAAAAACTGTTTCCCCCCAGCATTGGTAGCTATTTATTTGGTTTCTCTTTATAGGAATCATGTTGGATTGTCTGTTTTTAACGAAATACCACCAATCATCTCTACTAGGAGATACTGGAAACTAAGTTTCAAAGTATCCCTTCCCTCTCTGGCCCTGGGTTAGAGTTTGTCAATGAGAAGAACTCACAAAGAATTTTGAAGGGAAGACAGAGGGAATGGAAGCCATTCTTCTCAGGAGGTCATGGTGGGCAGATGCAGCAGCTTCTCGGCCACACCTACGAGCTCCCAGTTCTCCATCGTGGTGACCAGACATGGAAGCTTCTATGTGTCTGTGAGATCTGGCTTCTCTCCAGTCCTCATGCTGTGGGCATTGGTCCTCAGGGGCTGCTTCTCCATTCCTTCAGCTGATGCCCTTCCAGAACTTTCCTAGCCATCTCCTCTCACATCTGTGGAATCCTCAACTCCCATATTAAATCCCTCATTCTTGTAACGCTATAGAAATTCTATTTCCCTGCCTGCACCCGGACTAATACAGGTGGAAGATTTGTCTTGGGCCTAAGCCAAATTGCTTTATCACCGGTAAAGGTGCAGTGTTTCTTTTCTGAAAGAAGAAAAAAAATGGCCGTTGGGTGGAACACACTTGAAGTTTTAGAAACAATGTATATTGCAATAAATTCACTTAATTCTACCCAGTTGACTGTGAAGGAGAGGGAATAATAGAAGGCATCAGAGAATTTATTAAATGTGCAAATAAGCCCATGGAAATGACAAGGTGAATGTTTACCTGATTCTTTTACCAGTCACGTACAGCGCCACTGGGAGGAGAGGAATGGCATGGATTGGCTTTGATGTGAAGCGGATTGCACACAAATGTGCAAAAGGATTTTGACATCATGAAAGCAAAAATAGGAACAGTATTCTTCTCAATACCTAGAAATGAGACTAAGGATTTAATGTGTTGATAATACATTTGCTTATTATATATTGACTATATTTTTAAAGGTCTATACTCTAGAAAATGTACTTTACCTTTTATTATTAATATGGCTGCATTTTTTGGGTCTATACAAGGTTTGAGCCCATTGAGTTTATAAGAAATTACATATATATATATATATATATATTTTGTGATAGGTAATGTAGTACAGCATCTGAAAATAACATGTTTAGGTAAGCATATGGTTTAACAGCCTGGATTTTTTAAATCAAAGATCATAAAGATAAGGTCTTACTACACACCAAGAGGCAGCGTATTAAATTATATATGGTGGAAAAAAATCAGGTTCCTGTGTGCAGGGTATAGAAAAGTAAAACATAAAATGATGGTGCTGTCACTGACACTGTCAAAGATTAATGCAGAGGAAACTCTTCGAAAACGAAATCTGCTATTAAATGTTCATTATGAGATTCAGCCCCATCTATCAGTATCCACTAAATAAAGATTAACAGCTTTCTCTCTATTACAGATGTTACTTATTCTGTTTATGTCTCTGAGAGATAAAAGAATCTTTATCCATAATACTGCCACAAATTTATTATTGAAAGGAATTAGTATTAAATACATTGTCCACACAAATATATTATTTGATCAAAACAGTTACAGACAATATTTTGTTCAACACGAGTGAATACTAATTCGTGAATTCAAAATATGATTTATTTCTTATAATATTTCAAAAATAGTAAGAAAAAGAACTAGGTTTGTAATCTGGTAAATGTGCGGTGAGCTTTTCCCAGTGTCACACAGAAAGTATCTGGAGCCGATTCCCAATTAAGAATGTCACTTATGGTGACAGCAAAGGCGTCTGGTTTCTGCATCTTTCACCTGAAATGTTGAGTTTCTTGCAGTTATTATGAGTGGTGATGACTTGCACAAATGTCCAAGAGGAACCTTACCTGGTGGTGTTTGCCTTCACATATGTTCAATGTCATGCCAAATTTTAATGTATAAACCTAAAGAATAGAAGAATTGCCTCAGAAAAAAATTGTTATCGTGTTCTTATGAGACTTGTGTCTTGGCTACTGGATTTTATAGCTTCTGCAATATCCACTTTCCCTTGTTGTTTGACCTTCATTTTGGCTGAAACACCATCCGTTACTGGTGTGCAGTCACTTCTCAGTACCTGCACCCTACATTCCTGCTGCGTGGTGCTCACCACTCATGTTCCTCGATTCACTGCCACCCCCCCCCCCCCAACTGATATATACATTACTCCAAAGGGCCAAAAATCAGTGTAGGAAATAGTCATCTCCTTTGATGGAAAAATCTATGAGTGCAGGAACTATGTTTTCTTTAATTATCTCCCCATATACAGTATCCAGTGTAGCTCCAGGAATATAGCAGGCCATCAATGTACATTTGGTGAATGGATATACAAATGATGTGGATAAAATATTTTTAAATAATAATTTTTGTTTAGTTTCTTTTCTTTCCTTCCTTCCTTCCTTCCTTCCTTCCTTCCTTCCTTCCTTCCTTCATGTTTTCTTGCTTTCTTCTTCATATCAAGGGGCCTTGTAGCTTCCAGAACCAGGGCATTTTTCTTTAATAATAGTCATCTTGGCAAGAGTAAGATGTGGCCCGTAAGCTCAATGGCTCACGCAAACAAACCTTTCCTTCTCGCTCTCCTTACATGTCAGAGGCGGTGGGTTGGAGCCTTCAGCTCTGCTCCCCGTGTTTCTCATTGCGGAAGCCCCTCTGGAGGAGGTGCTTTTGTTGAGGATACGCAGTTCTTATTGGGGAGGAAAAAACGAGAATTGAAACAAATTCAAATGATATTTCTGAAGCTTCTGCTTGGTCTTGATTTATGCCGCATTTACTCACATTCCACTGGCCAAACCTGTAACGTGCCAAACCTGAAACGTGGCCAGACCCAGAAATCAGTTGGGGGCGGGGACGTAAAATGTCTTACAGAGAATGGGGGAGCCAACCATTGGAAACAACAACACAATCCACCTCGCCTCTCTTTAAAATCGCTCCTATAAAATAAGCATGTCTCAGAAAGTAACCCCCATTTTAAGCAT